TATACCTCAAGTAACAAGAGGAGCTTAATCCGAAGCTCCACTTGGCAAAATAAAAGTGTTGGCACAATAAAGCACCCAGACTAACATCCTGTTTGCTACACTGCCGGACACGACGGGTTAAAAAAAAAAAAACAGGCATGTTTTTTTAAAATACAGAAAGAAAAGGCTTAACTAAAGCTAATGCCCTGACTGATAGAAACAGGCCAAGTAATCCACTAAGACCAAAGTCTGACAGGCAACTCCTCTCCCACCAGGCCTCACCAGTTTGGAGCCACGAGTTAATGGCCTCTCACCTACACACACTTTCTCGGTTGGTCCCCCCAGGTCTTCCAAATGCAGGCAGCTCCAGCCAGCACACTGGTCAAACCCCCACCAAATCACTCATCACTCCACAGAACACATCTCCACTCCTCCAGTCCAGTGGTGGTGTACTGTACACCACTCCATCTGACACTTGGCACTGCGCTTGGTGACATGAGGCTTGAATGCAGCTGCTCAGCCATGGAAGCCCATTCCATGAAACTTCTGGTGCACAGTTTTTGTGCTGGGGTTAATGCCACAGGAAGTTTGCAGCTTTGTGGCTGGGTTTCTGTTGTTCCTAAACACTTTGTTTTTGCAATAATACCACTTACAGTTGACCACTGAATGTCAATACAATAGAAATTTCACAAAATTGCAAAGGCGGCCTATGAAAGTACCATGCTTGAATTCACTGAGCTCTTCAGAATGACCCTTCAGAATATTTGTAAACCTGACTCCATGGCTAGGTGTTTGATTTTATACACCTGTGACAATGGGTCTGAATGAAACGCCTGAATTCAATGATTGGACGAAGTGGTGTGTCCCAGTACTTTTGTCCATATAGTGTATGTGGCTTTCAGACCATATGTATAATGCTTCCTAGTGGCAGCAAAGGGAAGACACTTGACCTTGTGAATGTAATAACTCAGGAAGTCTTGTTACCACTTCATAAGAGTGTAACGGTACACAGAATTCATGATACGGTATTGGTGTGGTATCGGTACTAGAAGTTGACCAATATGGGTTTTTCAATAGCCGATGCCGATATTTAAGAGCCAGGGTCAGCCGATGGCCGATATATGCTGCTGATTTTTTTGGCCAATAACTGGATGTTTTTCCTTCTATTTGCATGGTAAAATATCACACTAATAATAACAAACGATACACAAAATTTCTCAACTTAGCATTTATTGAATACTGACTTGTGTAAATTTAAATATAAACTTATCAAAAACACAATACAACTTGTAAACAATAACTTAAATTTATAAAAATAAATTACAATAAAAATAGCTGCATCAAAATCTCTTCTAGTTCACAATATGGCAGCAAACTCCTCATTTGTGAGGGAAGGAAAATTTGTAAATAATACAAAAAGGAATGTGCATGTTATCTTCAGTTTTAATCCTAGCTGCAACTGCTTCTTTTTCTTTCTGTGCATCTGTGCATAAGCCTGGAGGTGGTGACACTTCAGGTGACTCCACAAATGTGTGGTGTTTTTCTTTTTACCTTCTTCAGTTCCCAAGCTCACCAGTCTGCTGCAGATATTGCACCTGGCTTTTCCTGGTGTTGGCTTTGTGAAATGCTGCCACACAGGATTAGATTTTTGTTCTGCCATCAGACAGCAATTACTAAAACAGAAGAAAAAAATGCAAGGTTAGCATTTTTATTATAGTGCCTTCATCTTCAATTCATTCTACAATTCCAGTATTCCATGCACATTAAAACATTACACTTTTTACAATTACACCGTATATAATTAAACAATTAATACAAGTACATTTTGAAAGGAAAAAAAACACTAGTAACTAAGAGAATCATGGTATAATGAGTAGTGTACAAGACCAAAAACCTTTCACTAACATGTTGTTTATGTTATTAGCAGACAGATAGCTTACAAGCAAAATTCACAACCAGAATCTAGCGATCGCAGAAAATAAAATAACTTTGTTGTATTACACAGCCTTGTATGAAAGGACAACGTAAGCCCATAGTGATTGTGACGTTATCGACGGATAAGCCAGTACAGTGGTACCTTGGTTTACGAGCATAATTCGTTCCGGAAACATGCTTGTAATCCAAAGCACTCGTATATCAAAGCAAATTTTCCCATTAGAAATAATGGAAACTCATATGATCCGTTCCACAACTCAAAAATATTCATATAAAAATTATTAATATAAAATATTAAGTAAAAATACATCAAACAAATTAACCTGCGCTTTTCCTTTGAAAAGAATCGTGGATGGTGTGAGGGAGACGAGAGAGGAGAAAAGGAGGCTTATTTTGTAGGACGACTTTCACTATAATTAACGGAATCACTGCTATCTGTTGGCTCACTGGAATCGTGATCTGTTTGTGCGACTTAAACTAGGAACCCATCCAGTGACAGCCTCTTTTGTCTCCTTTTCGATTTCGCAAAAATGTGGACATTGCATTGTCGTTAAACAGATTCATCGCTCGCACTGCTACGCCCTTATTCAGGTGGTGCTTTTCTACTAAATTTTGACTATACGAGTGAGGCATACCGACAGACCGAGCATGGGAGACGATTACCCACAATTCCGCAGCGTGAGAAAGTGAATAACCATTGGTTCAGTTGTGATGACGTGCGCTCGGCGTCAAAACAAGAAGCGCACGCATGCGCTTCCTGTTTTGAAGCCGAGGGCACGTAAAAACAAGGAGCACATGTGTGCCATATGATTTTTGATGATACTTGGCGCTCATAAACCAGGACTTGCTCGGTTTCCAAGTCAAAATTTATTAAAAATCTTT